AGTTCAAACATACCTGATTCAGGTCATCAGCTCATTAGTAGAAACTCCAAGACCTGAAATGGGTGTGTCAAAAGAGACATGCAAAATAAACCAGAACCAGGAACGTGGTTCAGAGCCACTGCTTTAGAACACCTGGGACCTGTACCATGATGGTGGCTGATCAAACTCAGGGTTACAGGATTCGTTTTGAGTTGACAAAACCAAACCAGTCCAATCCGGCTTTGTTGGTACCATGAAGCTGATCATCAACTTTTTCTGTCAACTCAGGCTTGATCCTGAGTTAATGGAGTGCGTGCATATGAATGTGTGACATCAGTAATTTGCAGCCAATCACATGCCTTGAAACTGTAATTCACTTTTCGTGAGAGAGTCAGTGCGATTCACTACCAAAAATTAAAAGATTGAACAATATGAAGAATTTAAATACATTTACACAGCAAGATGAAATGATCTATCCATGAAAGACGAAAACTTCAAGAAAACATCTTACCATATAAGTGCAAGTAAAAGTTGTAAAGTTAGTTTATAGAGTTTATAATATTTATAGGTATAAAAACACTTAAAAATCTAAACTCATATGTAGTCATGTTTACAGCTATTGATTCTAAAACTTATTTATATCGCATATTATCTATATGTTTATATTAATTTAAAATAAAAGCTTAATAATTACTATTAAACTAAACTGGCTTGTGTAATGGATTAAGGGTATAATAATTATATAAATAATATCAAATAATAAAAAAATTATCTCGAAAATTAAGATGATTTTATCTTTAAAAATGGTTTACTATGTAGCATCCTTTAATTTGGAGTAAGAGAAACTGGAGGAGTGGCTTTATTACGTCAAATATATGTCACTTTGCTTGAAGCTGATTGGTCAAATTTCGGTTTGAGATCTCTAACCCAGAATATAACCTGCCCCGGAGCAGAATAGCTGTGGAGCAAAATGGCGATGAACACTGCTAAAAGCCAAACCACTTTCATGGTACCTAAAACCCAGAGTTGGCACAAACTAAACTGAAACTTACCTGGCTAGCCAGCTAAACCGGCTTCATGGTACAGGCCCCAGGTTTGTATTGTTGATCTTCAAGAGTTGCAACACCCTCATAAGATTCACAGAAGCTCTGCAGCCATTCCTGTTTGAAGTTTCCCCAGCTTTCATTTCCTTTGTTCAGCAGAGTCAGGTAATAGTGGGTACCCTAGAATTGGTGTCTGTAGGGGGTCTTGCATGTAAGCGAAGGACTAGAACGGGCAGAAAACATCCCAGCCGGGATGATCAGACCAGTGGACGATGGCCAAGTCTGTTGAAAAACAGATTCGCCTCATTAGCCCGGGTGAATCCTCAAATGTAGGCCCTTAGATACAACAAACCATTGAATGAAGAGGGAAAAAGACGTTTGCCCACAGTACACATATACAGACAGGTCATAAAAATAACTAATATAAGATGAAAACGGTCCTGTTCACACTCACAGAGCATGGATTTCTGTCTGAAATTTTGGATGTCAATTAGAATTGCATATTTATCAAAGGTTATAACAACATGCGTCAATGTGTGTTTATTACAGAGCTCCTATGTTATTTCTCACGTTCTACCATATTTCATGCATGGCTGTACGTTTATTGTCATAATAGTCAGCTGGCCTTACATTTGAGGTTTAATCGCTCAGTAAGAGTGTTGACATGTTTGAAAATGTGCACCGATATAAATATGGCAAGTTGTCCTTTGGAATCAAATTGTTTTCGAATGTTATTGTTTTTTCAATCAAGGTTAAGAGTGGTCATTGACTTCATGTTGTTATATAGTCCAGCAGCCAATTTTGAGAATGCTGTCATTTCCCTATGGAGATGGAGCTTTCATAAAACATGTTGACCTTTTATAGCCACTAGGAGATCTTTGTTTTCCATAAACTCCCTGGACGTTTTTACAATTCACTCCAGGCTGTATCTCAGAACAGACAACATCTTATTCTACGTCTTTAATCTTGACATAATTGTACACTGAAAATCTGTCATCAGAATTAAAACTTTTTCCCTGAATGGCTAAATGTCCAATGGGCGTTTATGCAGAGGGATATTCATGTGACATAAGAGATTAAAGCATATTTTTGTCACCACCAACATGACAAAATGGTAGGCTAGAATTATAATCATACTCCCTGCCTAAATATGGCAGTTTAGGCATATAGACTCTCATTTCATTCCTGTTCTCAAGGCATCATGACTTCTAGAGGAAATCCTTACAACTGATTTTGGGGGGACTGAAAAGATTGGAAGGTTGAGGGAGTAATAAAGCATAGAGACCTTTTACAAAATATGGATACCATAGGAAATTATACATACTCTCCAATTGTAGGCTATGAGCCAAATGTTCCCACGGTAAAGAGGTTTTTGATGCCAAGTTTATGAGCAGGAAATGCACAACCACACAGTTACAGAATAATAATACGATAAAATCTGATCAAGCTTAAAATCTGCTAGAATTTGAAGAGTGCCAGAATATTGTATAGGTCATTTGAGATTTTTCTGTTATGAAGGAAGACTGACAGATTTACGTTGTGATGCAACAGATATAAGTACCGGTCCCATAAAATCATGGCAATTCAGATACAGAAAATGGCTTAAAACTTGAAATAGGTATGGGAAATCTTGGTGTCTGCATTTAGTCTATTGCCGTTTCTAGATGACATTTGAAAATCTTATTTAAATTTCATCCTTAAAAGCTAAAGGTTATTTTACATTTAGATATATTTTATACATTCTTTCAGATATCAAGTTCACATTTTTGAATTCTTATAACCTATATGTTGGTGTCATCTGCAAATAAATAAACCATTTACCTTATTATGTTATTATATTTGAGAGGCCTGAGTCTTGGCACATCATGATTGAATCATCTGGCTATTTGTTATTTCAGACATTCAATCCTAATCAATTTACAGCACACTTACAACATCAACAGCTGTCCTGGAGCAATCTGAGGATAAGTGCTTTGCTCAAGTTTGAAAAGAGATTGAATGGGGTGCCACTTGCCAGCCCAAATCTTTAACTGCAGCGCTGTGTGTCCATAAAGATCCAGTCTGCAGTGCTTGTCATCATATGAAAAGTAGGTCATTCAAGTGTTTCCTTGGAAGTGCAGCAGTGTTTCTAAATCTGCCTCGTCCTTTATTCAAATTATTAGATGGCTCAAAAACATTTAGGATCTCGGGTCAAATTTTAATGAGTTATTTAAAACCGAAGAACCTAGTTTGTCTAACTGTAGCTTATATTATTCATTACAGTAAAGCTATTGATAATTTAAAGCATTTTTTTATTTATACATTAGTTGGCTTTTTTCCACAGGTTTTAAAAGACACCCAGTGGACCCATTTTGATGAATAAATGAATGTCACTCTCGGCCGTCTAAAATCAGTCATCAGACAGCTATTGCAGGGACCAGCGCTGCTCATCTTGAAACCTCTGAAGGGCTCTTTCAAATATTTAAACTAAATTTCATTGAGATTCCAGCAGACATCCAGCATCGAAGTGTAAAACTGCTTTCATTCCAGTGGAAAGTTTTTTTTTTTCTGAAGCTTTTATTAAGCATCACACTTGGGCTCAGCAATGGTCCTGACACACAGGACAGTAAAGGGGTGAAAGGTGGGAATGATTCTGGAGCAGTGGTTCTCAACCAGGGGCCTTCTGCAAACGTCTAGAGGGCTCCAATAAATCAAAATTAAAATGATTTAAATTTAGTTACATTAACATAATCATAGAGAAATAGTTCACCCCAAAATGAAAATTTGCTGAAAATGTACTCACCCTCAGGCCATCACATGAGATTGTTTCCTAATTGGAACAGATTTAGAAAAATGTAACATTATATCACTTGCTCAACTATGGATCCTCTGCAGTGAATGGGTGCCGTCAGAATAAGAATTTAATCTTGCACTTTTTTGTTTTAGTGTTTTTAATCATTTTAATTAAATTTGCTGATATAAATTACAGACATGAATTACAGCGTGGTTGTTTACTACCACTGAGATACTATTAGATTTAATTTTTCTTAAAGGGGTCCTATTATGCTCTTTTACAAAGTCTTGATTTTATTTATTGTATTTTTTATTTATTATTTTTACATTTAATAATTTGTTTTGTCATTTGTATTTGTTTTTTAATTTCTATATAGGTTTTCAATTTTATTTCAGTTTTAGTTAAGTAGTCTTTTTGTTTTATTTCAGTTAACACATTTCAAATTTCAAGTAATTAATTTTTATGGTTTTGGTTTTATTTCTGGTTGACTATATAACCCTGAGTCACAGAAGAGACAAGGACCTCAAATACAGTAGTTATAAAGTCTTTTGTAATTTAAACTACTTTTTTGTTTTTAATTTAATGCTGGGTAATATAACAATATATGGTGATATAAATGTAAATTTTTAACAATTAAAATATACAAAACATTTTATTCAAAGGTTTAGCTGTTTGAGACTACCTTCACATACGCACCAGGGACCATCAGGCTGGATTTACATTTTGTTGAAAAGAGGCATAATTTACTGTTACGGGGCCTGGAATATATCACTGCTGACACATAAACTTTTGTAAGATTCACTAAATCTTTCCACATACGTTTCATTAATTTTTTTGGTGAATAATTACTAAGTTAAAAAATTTAAACCATTTGCTAAAATTAATAAATTAGTAATCAGTGAACAGCCGGGCAAAAGACATTGTGCAGGTTGCGCAATATAAGGCAAGCACACAAATGTACATTAGCGAAAAGTGAGCATATTTTCCTATGACTTCCGTGAGAAGAGCATAATTATATAACAAAATGTATTCGTCAGAAATCTAGAATGAACCAAACAATAACTCCTCGGCGCATCTTGCGCATAGAGGTACAGGCTAACGATGGATGTCTCCACCCCCACCCCTCCTCCGTCCGCATCTCTGCGGAGCGTGATTGGATTAAAGTCGGTTACCCTTTCCCCTCTAACCCGGTGATGCTGGCTGTTTCCTGCTTCTTCCTCTATCCAACCGCTGCTGCTGGTGATTTCGTGTTAGTTGGGCGCTGTAGCCACAGCGAGACGCAGACCGAGGACGTCAGTGGCTTTTCACGGCACAAACCCCGAGACAGCCACTGTATTATCCCATCCAAAATCACAGCAATGCGCAGGAAATCTAGGGTATTATTATGTTTCGCTGTGCTTTGGGTTCTAGGCATAGCATATTATTTCTATTCGGGGACAACGCTGAGTCGAAAGGTAGGTTTTTCTGTTCGCTTCATGTTGCATGCTGCTGGATTGGTGCTATTATAAGTTGTTAGGGGTGACTGTCGAAATATTTTGTTTGCGGATGAATGAGGAAAAACAGTCACTACGGCGAGAGAACCAGCACGATTAAATAGCCAAAGTCTGCTGAGTGGACTCACAAAGATAGTGTTATCGTTCCGTGCTGTGATTTCAGTGCGAGACTATCAAATAACCGCGTTTGCTTTAACTGAATTCAGAGCCCGCTATGTTGTGCGTGTTTCTAAAAGGCGCTTTATTCCGAAGTCATTTTTAAAAGCTTTGATACGCCGAATTTCTTGGGAGCAAGAGGAACGTTGACTGCTTACAAACATGAGCTTTTCGCTTGTGAATGTTACAGGGTAGTGCTAAAGCTACGATTAATAGGCTACATGAGCTTTTCAGTTTTTCAAATTAGTAATTTTTTATTATTTGGCTAATATTTAGTCTGGGACATTTTACTGGTGGTAGGGACTATCGCTTTCTGCATTTTACGTCGTTACGCCAGTAGGTGGCGACACAATAGAGTATGTTTGTGTGTGCTATGAGTCGTTGAATCATTCACGATCAAAAGGTTTTATCTTTTATTGCAATTTACCTCTAATCTACTGAATAATGAGATCTATAGACTTAGTCTTAATAATGTGTTTAGTCGTCATTAAAGCTGCAGTCCGTAACTTTTTGTGTGTTCCAAATGTACCAAATTAATATAATAAGCGAGTACATTGTGAATCCATTTTCCAAACCATGTTTTTGTCTTATCCTGAATTTTTATATTCAGACTATTTCATACTGGTACTGGTGGAACTGCAGAGTAGCCCAGTACCTGCGTGATTCGTCATAGACATAAACAGAGAGAAGTAGCTCCGGCTACAATGTTCTTCCACAAGATGCACGCAGTTCTGTTTATTAACTGCTAGAGTGCCAAAAGTTACAGACTGCAGCTTTAAGCATATCTGAAGCGGAGTGATATTCAATACAATTGGTAGTGTGAATGTGCAAAATTTCTGGTGTCAGTTGCTTCCAGTTATTTTAACTGCACAATAATATAGTTTTACTATTTACTGTACTTTGTTATTCTTCTATCTACCTATTGGGTAATAAATCATACATCTCGCCTATTAACAGGAAATAGCTTATTTCCACATAAAAAATTAAGAAGTGTGTGTGTATGTAAATAAAGTCCCGGTGCATTTGGACTATGCCATATATCAGACTGTTGTAACAACACAAAAAACTGTGAACTGACTGTCATATAAAAAACCATAATCTTCCAAAAAAAAGACAAGTTTGCATTTACAGTAACTTTTGATCTCTAGAAGCTGTATGTCTGTATCTCATTAATCATCACTTGACAGTGTGCACATATTGCACTCAGTTTTGAGTGAGGGTGGTGTACCATGAAACCACACTTTTTAGTAACATACCATCTGTCTCGAAGGAAGTTTGCTGAAATTCCTTTGCTCACAGGCAAATATTCAGCTCGTGTACTTCCCTTTATATTAAATGATGCATACTGTCTTGAGATTTTGTTGTGTTTCGTGCTTTGTTTCCATAGCTGTTCATCAGCCCGCAGTCAGCCAACCCATTTTCTATTGTGAGTGCATTTGATATTGTGATCAAGGCACAATGAGGTGAATGGACTGCTGCACATTTGGGAATTGCTCCCTTATGGCACTCTGAATGTACATTATTGAATGTAACGCTATTGTTTGTAGTGTAGCATTGATCACAGTTTGTTGTTCACAAGTCGTTATTGTCCTGTACTGCGGCCCGAAATGGGAAACGTTGCATGGCTAGAATAGAAATATACTGGACTTCAAAGACCTTGCTGTTTAGCTAGTTTCTCTACTGGTTTATTGCTGCTTTTATCATATAACCTCATAATGTATGAAGACGGCTGCTTGTGGATTTGTTTTTAAAGCTTCATGTAGTGTAGCATAAGCAAGTGGCTGAACAGCTGGTTAGCGCTCCTTCATCTGGCTCAGGGCACTTTGTTGAATCCTTCTCTACATTGAACGAGACATCGATGCTGCCGTTTGGTGCAGCTTGTGTTCCTTTATATCTGTAAAATTACTCATTGATTTCATTTTATTGAAGATTTTAAACTGACCTGACCTTTGCCTTGTCCTTATGCATTTATTTCTGCGAGAACTGTGCTAGTTGCGCAATAGAGTTTAAACAGATGTCAAAGATTGTGTCTCAGCGAGGAAATGAGTTTCTGCAACCACCGAGGGTGGATGACAGCCCCGGGACGGTGGGGTTGCACAGACGCTCATCACGGATTCTAGTACCTCAGTTATGCAAGGGTCAGATTCTGAATATTTTCCCTATTGGATTGTTTTTTTGGAGCCATGGATGGCCTCGGATGCGGGCGGGATAGGAAAACGGGGCTTTTATCTCCACTGAGAAATGCGTTTGATCTGATATCTGCTCCACAACACAATTATTGACATGCTGATTGTTCTGCCCCTGTTGGCAGGATTACAGTGGCGGTGTTGGGATGGGGCCGAACTGCTTTCAGTCACTTGTTCAAATCAAAGCTTGTTAACATCAGGATGAACCAAAGTGCATGACAGATTTGGTCAGCTCTCACAAAGCTGTGTGTGTCTTCCTTTTTTCTTTGTTTTTGCCTTTGATACCAGAGGAAAGTAAGCCGTTTGGGTCTGATGAGTGTCATAGCCTACAGATGAATTTGCAGCGAGAAATAAAAGCGAAGTAGGGGCACTCATTTTTTCGTGACTGTGGGTTTCTCTTTCTCATTTTCTGAATTGCTGGAGATGTTCTGCTAAATGCCACTGTTTTGACTGATATTGATTGTTTGTTTTTTTTGGGGGTTGCCGATGCCGATATTTTAGAGAAAAGGGTCGCTGAAATAAAGCTGATCTATATAGCCGGGTTTTCATCCAAAGTTGCACATTTAACTTATGCACAAAATTGGAATATCGCATAAAACAAGAAAAGTAGGAGAAGCCACTGAATATAATAATTTTCAGATATAATAAATTACTTGAACCTCAGAGCGAGTAGACCAGGGCTGTCCAAACTCGGTCCTGGAGGGCCGGTGTCCTGCAGAGTTTAGCTCCAACAGACGAAACAAAATAAATGCGGTCATTGATTTCGGAGGTGGATGCCTGCCGTTTGGGAACGCAGTCGTGTAAGACAGTTCTGGGAGGCAATTATACATAAATACTTTAGCGGGCATTTCAGAATGACCATAACATTTCAGATGCTGTGGAACAAGATTGATCTGCTGTTTAGTCAGGTTTTGCCGTCCTATAGCGCAAAGTCACATTACTTTTTTTGATGCGCATGGAGGAATTTATTCGGCAAATGCGTTGTTTGCACAAGTCAAAAACCACCTCAAGCGAGCTTAAAAACTATTTTGTGAATTAATTAAATTTTATTAGAAATTTGGCATTTCCATCACTCGTTTCTGATGTGATTCTTTAAAATGCGCATTAAAACGGTGATGGAAACATAGCTAATGATATCACACTAATAATTTAGCTATTAGACAGAACTACACAGAGAGTGTAAAATAATGAAGATGGAGAATCTGGACATTGGTGTTTTCAGCATTGTCAATATAAAAGTCCTGCTTTTGGGCTTTGATGATAGCTCAATTGACTACTACTTTTGAGGAAGACGGAAGACCGATGTTAGAAATATTTCAGAATGACCATAACATTTCAGATGCTGTGGAACAAGATTGGTCCGCTGTTTAGTCAGGTTTTGCCGTCCTATAGCGCAAAGTCACATGACTTTTTTTGATGCGCATGGAGGAATTTATTCGGCAAATGCGTTGTTTGCACAAGTCAAAAACCACCTCAAGCGAGCTTAAAAACTATTTTGTGAATTAATTAAATTTTATTTGAAATTTGGCATTTCCATCACTCGTTTCTGATGTGATTCTTTAAAATGCGCATTAAAACGGTGATGGAAACATAGCTAATGATATCACACTAATAATTTAGCTATTAGACAGAACTACACAGAGAGTGTAAAATAATGAAGATGGAGAATCTGGACATTGGTGTTTTCAGCATTGTCAAAATAAAAGTCCTGCTTTTGGGCTTTGATGATAGCTCAATTGACTACTACTTTTGAGGAAGACGGAAGACCGATGTTAGAAATAGCAAATGCCAAAGAGGCTAAATGTAGCCTACACTTTAAAAAACACTGGGTTAAAAACAACCCAATTTGGGTTGTTTTGAACCCAAGGACTGGGTAAATATAGGACAGAACCCATCTTGGGTTAAATTTACCCAATAAATGCCTGAAATAAGGTCTGTGGTTAATACAACCTCAAGATATTTTCATGTTTAATCTACAACATAAAATGTAATACCTCACTCATGAGATTTATCAGAATCTTAGTTAAGGTCATGTAAAGTTAGTCATGCGACTGTGGAGTAGTTCAGTTCATATGCTAACTTTAGCATTTTTACTTCTGGCAATTGTTTTTCAGCTTAAATGAATATCCATTTTTCATATTTTTATTAACATATTGTGGTATCCAATTCACAATTATTGCTGTTTTTAATGTTTTATTTTTTTTTAATGGTTTTTTTATTTTTATTAAAAATAGAATTTTGATTCCATCTGAGTTATAACTCTAAGATACTCACTAGGAATGATATTATATTGAAGTCCTGCATTTTAGGCCAAATGTGATATTTTACTCTGAAAAATTACTGCATTACAAAAGACATGAAGCATAGATTTTTTTCCACAGTTGTTGAAGGGATAACTCTTGACATGCTGTGATTACCTTTGAAGAAGTGTCTTGTCCAAAGATTCAACATTTTTACTGAGGTCTTTGGCACCAGAGATGAATTTTCTGTAATATTTGGTAAGATAAAAGTCTCTGTGGGGATTTGCAGAAATTCTTTTCAGTTCTCCCACAACTGCCTGTTCAGTTAGGGAGTGAGATATGAAAAAAATTAATACATCCCTGCTTACCACTTCAGCCT